ATAACATAAAGGGGGGGGGGTTGTTCTGTAGTCCGCAGAACTGAACCAGATAGGGCAACACAACTTGAAATAACACTGCAGACTAGTGTGCACAAGACAGCACTGGATTTTTAAAAGGATCAATAGCTAATTTTTGCATTTCTCAAACAGATATTTCAGAACACTTTCTATTGTGTCAAACAACTAAAGTCTGTGTTAGTGATTGAATAGTATCAGACAGCAAAAGGATTGTTATATAGAAATGTTATATTGCAATTGCAGCACCCCTCTAATATACAGTATAATACTGTTTATAAACAAATTATATAATCAAAATTTTTATACTGTATATAAAACCACATATGCATAATTTATTAGATGCCTGCATACAGAAATGAATATAATGTCATGTTCAATCCAAAAATGTAAAACACTAAAAGTGCAACTGTACTAGCCGCAAATAATATAAGTTTTTCAAATGGTGATAAACACAAAAAATTAACAATCATGTAAAGCAAATGTGAGTCCCTTTACGTGAAAAAACACAAGTAATATCCATAATATAGTATCTGTATCAACCACTACGACATACAATTGATATTGTTCTCCAGTCGAATCCCTCAGTGTGTGCCCTGATACCAGAAATGAGTGAATGGAATACTAACCAGAGTTACAGCTCTTAATTGCAGGAAAAAAGAATTACTGAACTCTGCTCCTCTGTCATGTAATGAATCAAGTAAAGCAAGATCAGGATCTGTCACACTCCTTCACTGCCAACCATAGAAAGAACACCTGCACTTCTAGGTATGCCAAGATGTATCTCCCATATACAAAACAAAAAGGAAGCATGCCCATAGTGCAGTATTTTTCTTTCTATTGTATATTTACTGTTGTGTATTTGACTTTCTATTGTGTATTTAACAGGCCAAAAGGGGGCAAATAAAAAAAGTTAAAGTGATTCTAAAAGCTTCCCTTAAAAAATAAATAAATAATAAACACATCATACTTACCTGCTCTGAGCAACAATTTTGCACAGAGCAGCCCTGATCCTGTTCTTTTCTGATCCCTTTCTGGCACTCCGGGCTTCTCCCCCTTGACCCCCAAAGCTGATTGCTAGGGGGGCACTGGTGCATGCTCACTACTGAGCCCCACTCTATGTGTCCATGAGACACAGAGCAGCAACTCGCTCTCCCCCCTCATTTGCTCACTGGCTATAATTGACAGCAATTGGAGCCAATGGCTCCTGTTGCTATGTCTCAGCCAATGAGGACACAGAGACCCGGGGCTCCCGTCTCCTCAGCCAAGGCTCCAATGCACATTGCTGGATCGAGAGGGAGCACAGGTGAGTATTAGGAGGGGCTGTGGGGGGGTGGGGAGCAGCACACAGAAGGATTTTTGCCTTTGTATAAAATGCTGCGCAAACTGTTGGCGCTATATAAATCTGGTATAATAATAGTAATAATAATGTATAGAATGCATGAAAGTAAAAAAAAAAAAAAAAAACAGCCTTTATAACCCCTTCAATTAATATGATATACAAACATTTAAAAGTGGAACTGAACTCAAAAATGAAAAATTTTATAGGCAACATTTAAAAATATTGTTACTAAGCAGTACCTTAAAAAAAGGACCTTTTTATGGAACTCCTCCTAGCAAAGCAGGGCACTTCCTGCTATGTGGGGGTCCCAAGCACTTCTATGACAAAACCCCATTAGCTGTATATCTCCACCACTGCCTCTGAGTGCTAGTCTCGGGAGATTTGGAGTAAATCTGGAGATGTTACTGCTGTGCGCCTCACTGTTCTCTTTGCTGGAGATTCTGATATAAAGACAGAAAACCTGCTTCCACTTATATGGTTGTCTGCACACAGGGACACAGTGTGAAACAGGGAATGATAGAACCTAAAAGTGGAAAGATCTGATGCATGGAGACAAAAGGCAACATCGGTGCCTAGTCACTTGCCTCTGGAGAGTAAGAATTCAGTGAGCGTTAAAAAAAGGAAAATGAAGCAGCAAATGCACTAAAAGGAAACCATAAAACCTTCTAAAATAATATAAAACACAAAGTGCAGCGCTAAAATATAAATGAATCTGAATCTGAAGCTCAAGTGATAAAATCTTAAAATATAGGTGCACTTGATAAATAATGTCCAAACATAATATGCAATAAAAGTTCAATTATGAGTAAATGAAGATATGATCAGGATGGAGACTCTAGTAATCCCAGTAGGCATATAATTCGGTGACGTGCAGGAAAATTTTTGATGCACTGAGCGGCTCACAACTTTTATATATTTTTATATATTTTTTATTGTTTATACGATTATCATACAATTACTAATTTTACTGCATGCTCAATTTGATATGATTTTACAATTTCTGTTTATCTCAAGAGATTTTTCCAATTTTTAACTACTCCTCCCGAGGATTTACCCCCCTTCCTGACCAGACCTCTTTTTGCTACTCGGCGCTGCACTAATTCAACTGATAATTGTGCAGTCATGCAATGTTGCACCCAAACTAAATTTACGTCCTTTTTTTCACGCTATAAACAAAAAAAGACAGAAAATTTTGAAGAAAAACGATACTTTCAGCTATAAAAAATATATAGTAAACTCAAAGTTAATTATAAATTTAGGCCAAAATGTATTCTGCTACATGTTTTTGGTAAAAAAAATCCCAATAAGTGTATATTGATTGCTTTGTGTGAAAGTTATAGCGTCTACAATCTATGGTATAGATACTGCAATTTACGTCATTTTTTTTTGCTATACAGCGCTGCGCTAGTTTAACTGACAATTGCGCGGTCATGCAATACGGTACATAAATAAAATTTATGTCCTTTTTTCACACAAATAGAGATTTCTTTTGGTGGTATTTGATCACCTGTGCGCTTTTTACTTTTGGCGCTATAAACAGAAACATTTTTGAAGAAAACAATATTTTCTCATTTCGGTCATAAAAAAATATCCAAAACAACTAAAATTTCGTCATACCTTTAGGCCAACATGTATTCTGCTACATGTTTTTGGTTAAAAAAAATCCCGGTAGGTGTATATTTATTGCTTTGTGTGAAAGTTATAGCGTCTACAAACTATGGTATAGATAACGGAATTTACACAGCTTTTACTTTCTGACTGCCCATCACATTTCTTGAGGTGCTAAAATACCAGGATAGTACAAACACCCTCAAATGACCCCTTTTCGGAAAGTAGACACCCTAAGCTATCTGCTGAGAGGCATATTGAGTACATGGAAGATTTATTTCTTTTCCACAATTTTCTGGAAAATTACAAAAACATTTTTTTTTTTTTAACACAAAGTTGTCATTTAAATGATTTATTTCTTGCACAAGCTATGGGTATATGTAAAATTACACCCCAAAATACATTCTGCTACTTCTACCGAGTATGGGGATACCACATGTGAGACTTTTTGGGAGCCTAGCCCCATACAGGAGCCTGAAATCCAATGACCACTTTGAAAGCCTGAAGGTGCGTAACTTCCTCACTACCTATCACAGTTTCAAAGGCCCTGAGATGCCAGGATAGCACCAAACCCCCCCAAATTACCCCTTGCTGGAAAGTAGACACCCCAAGGAATTTAAAAAGAACCATGGTGAGTATTTTGCAGATCTCATTTTTTCTCACAAGGTTTTGAAATATAAAAAAAGAATAGAAAAAATGTTTGTTTTTTTTTTTTGCTTCATTTTCCAAAAACTTGTGGCAACAAATGAGATCTGCAAAATACTTACCATGCTTCTTATCAAATTCCGTGGGGTGTCTACTTTCCAAAAAGGGGTCATTTGGGGGGGGTTAGGTGCTATCCTGGCATTTCAGGGCCTCTGAAACTGTGATAGGTAGTAGAAGTGTAATGAGGAAATAAAGCCCTTTAAAAGCCTGAAGGTGCTTATTGGATTTTGGGGTCCTGTACTTGGCTAGACTGCCAAAACGTCTCACATGTGGTACCCCCATACTCGGGAGAAGTAGCAGAATGTATTTTGGGGAGTAATTCCACATATACCCATGGCACGTGTGAGCAGTAAATCATTTAAGTGACAATTTTGTCATTTTCCAAAAACTTGTGGTAAAAAAATTAATTCTATTGATTCAACATGCCTCTCAGCAAATAGTTTGGGGTATCTACTTTCCAAAAAGGGGTCGTTTTGGGGGGTGGGGGCATTCTATGCCCAGCATTAGAAGTTTATGCCACACATCATTCACTCTTCTAACCACCTGAAGACCAAGCCTTTTCTGACACTTTCTGTTCACATGAAAAAAATCAGTATTTTTTGCTATGAAATTAATTTAAACCCCCAAACATGTATTTTTTTTTAAAGCAGACACCCTAGTGAATAAAATGGTGGGGTACTACAATTTTTTATGGCACATAGTACTCGCGCACTCAAAAGCAAAGTTTTCTTTTTAAAAATACACTTTGTTTTACTTTTAATGCATAAAAACACAATATATTGGCCAATTATTTGGTAGAATATAAACGATAATGGTATGCTGAGTAAACAGATACCAAACATGACATGCTTTAAAACTGCGCATGCCCCGTGCAATGGTGACAAACTGCATACATTTTTAATATCCAGGTGTTGGCTGACTGCAGGAGTGAGCTTCTGGCTGCTGAGAGCACCCGCTGGTCAGCCCTGGTACTGCAGCCCACACGGCAGGTGAGTCCCACCACCAGTGCTGAGTCCATTCCTGACAGTACCCCCCTCAAGGAGCGGCCTCAGGACGCTCCAAACAGTCCTTAGTGGGCAAAATGTTCCACCGCCCGGGTCAGGTAACTGGCTGGATATCTTACTGCCGGAGTCAACCTGCTGGCTGGGTTTCCTGCTGGCAGACTTCTCTTTTATGTAGGGGAACCCAGGAAGGCAGGTCGCTGGACACAGGATCTCCAGGAGCAGGCTGGGAATCAGTTATTGGCCAGTTTAGCTGGACATCAGGGGCTGGCACATCAGGCTGCGCAGCAGGCGGAGGCAAGTCAGGCTGGGCAGCGGGCGGAGGCACGTCAGGCTGGGCAGCGGGCGGAGGCACGTCAGGCTGGGCAGCGGGCGGAGGCACGTCAGGCTGGGAAGCGGGCGGAGGCACGTCAGGCTGGGAAGCGGGCGGAGGCACGTCAGGCTGGGCAGCGGGCGGAGGCACGTCAGGCTGGGCAGCGGGCAGAGGCACGACAGCGGGCACCGAGTCATCTGGCACGACAGCGGGCACCGAGTCATCTGGCACGACAGCGGGCACCGAGTCATCTGGCACGACAGCGGGCACCGAGTCACCGGGCAAGTCAGCGGGCACCGAGTCACCGGGCAAGTCAGCGGGCACCGAGTCATCTGGCATGACAGCGGGCACCGAGTCACCAAGACCGACAGCGTGCACCGAGTCACCGGGCACATCAGCGGGCACTGAGCCATCTAGCAGAACCGTGGGCACCGGGTCATCTGGCACGACAGCGAGCACCAAATCATCTGGCACGACAGCGGGCAGCAACTCATCTGGCACGACAGCAGGCACCGAGTCACCAAGCTCGACAGCGGGCACCGAGTCACCAAGCTCGACAGCGGGCACCGAGTCACCGGGCACGTCAGCGGGCACCGAGTCATCTGGCACGACAGCGGGCACCGAGTCACCAAGCTTGACAGCGGGCACCGAGTCACCGGGCAAGTCAGCGGGCACCGAGTCATCTGGCACGACAGCGGGCACCGAGTCACCAAGCTTGACAGCGGGCACCGAGTCATCATCTGGCACGACAGCGGGCAGCAACTCAACTGGCACGACAGCGGCACCGAGTCACCAAGCTCGACAGCGGGCTCCGAGTCACCAAGCTCGACAGCGGGCACCGAGTCACCGGGCAAGTCAGCGGGCACCGAGTCATCTGGCACGACAGCGAGCACCGAGTCACCAAGCTTGACAGCGGGCACCGAGTCACCGGGCACATCAGCGGGCACCGAGCCATCTAGCAGAACCGCGGGTACCGGGTCACCAAGCTCAACAGCGGGCACCGAGTCATCTGGCACGACAGCGGGCACCAAGTCATCTGGCACGACAGCGGGCATCAAGTCATCTGGCACGACAGCGGGCACCGAGTCACCAGGCAAGTCAGCGGGCACCGAGTCACCAGGCACGTCAGCGGGCACCGAGCCATCTAGCAGAACCGCAGGCACCGGGTCACCAAGCTCGACAGCGGGCACCGAGTCATCTGGAACGACCGCGGGGCACTGAGTCATCTGGCACGACAGCGGGCACCAAGTCATCTGGCACGACAGCGGGCACCGAGTCATCTGGCACGACAGCGGGCACCGAGTCACCAAGCTCGACAGCGGGCACCGAGTCACCAAGCTCGACAGCGGGCACCAAATCATCGGGCAAGTCAGCGGGCACCGAGTCATCGGGTACGTTAGCGGGCACCGAGCCATCTAGCAGAACCAAGGGCACCGGGTCACCAAGCTCGACAGCGGGCACTGAGTCATCTGGCACGACAGCGGGCACCGAGTCACCAAGCTCGACAGCGGGCACTGAGTCATCTGGCTGGGTCGGGTCATCAGGCTGGATCGGGCCATCTGGCTGGATCACGAACACCGGGTCATCAGGCTGGATTGGGTCATCAGGCTGGATCGGGTCATCAGGCTGGATCACGAACACCGGGTCATCAGGCTGGAACGGGTCATCAGGCTGGATCGGGCCATCAGGCCGGATCACGAACACCGTCTCATCAGGCTGGATCGGGTCATCGGGCATCAGGGCATCAGGCTGGACAACGGAAGGCGGGTCCTCAGACAGCAGGCTGACCGGTTTGGATACTGGTAGGATGGTACTGGTTGGAAAGAATTTTCGCTTCTTCTTGGGTTTAGTTACTGGAGCACTGTAAGTAAATGCAGGTCTGTAAACGGATGGAGCAGCTGAAGACAGGGAAGAGCCGGAGGATGGAACAAAGGAGGGAGCAGTTGCTACAGAGGGCTTCTTTACAGGGTAAAAGGCAGGATAGGTGCAGCGAGTGAGTGGGAGCAGGGGACTGACATGTGGTAGCTAGCAGGGTATACTGGGCTGTCATTGGGGGTGCTGTCGGGAGTGCAGGAAGAGAGCTTTGAGCAGAGGAATGATGAGAAACAGGACTGGTTTGTTGCAAGCTGACTGAGGCTGGGTGTAACAAGTCTGCCCAGGACTGTAGTATTGGTTGAACACAACTCCACTTACACATAGCCTGTCTGACCAAAGACTGCACTGCGTCTATACACTCCATGAGATGGACAAGCTGCATAATGCTCATGGAAGCAATCTGGATCCTCCTCCAACAACCATAGCAGCGATTCCACTTGATCTGCATTGAATGGGGGAAAATCATCCCTGCTTTCAGGGGTACTAGCTGAAGCCAACTCCACACAAGCCTGAATTACTGGTTGCACCTCAGAGAACTCTGTGCCCTGATCTACCAGGGAATGCGCAACCCCTATGCATTCTAGCAGCTGATCCCTGGTATACTCCTGCAGAGTCTCATAGGCATATTCTTTGTCATCAAAGACTAGCAGACACAAGTATATAACCTCCTCTGGATGCATCCTTCACAACAATAAGCCAAGATGGCTTCCCTGTGCAGCCATTTCTGGTCAGGAATGGCCTTGGTGTAATGTTAGGGATCCAGGTATGACCAGAAATGTGTGGACTGACACAGGGAAGTAACAGGCTTCAGGAATGATATAATAATAGAATAGCCCTGGTACTGCAGCCCACACGGCGGGTGAGTCCCACCACCAGTGCTGAGTCCATTCCTGACAGCAACGCTTTAAAAGCCTTTAAAAGCTACCATTTTAGATTTACAGAGGAGGTCTAGTGTTAGAATTACTGCCCTTGATCTGATGTTCATGGCAATACCTCACATGCATGGTGCAACCGCTGTTAACATACCGGAACAGGGTCAAGGCTTGTGTAGGTGTGCGTGCATGGGAGGGGCGATTTTTTGTTTTTTTTTAGTTATTTTGGGTTTTTTTTAGTATTTTTACACTGTACCTTTTTTTTTTTATCACTTTTAAAGCTATCACAGGGAATGCAAATATCCCCTATAACTTCAATGGGCATTGTCATATATTCTTTTTTGAGAAATCTGGGGTCTATCAGACTCTGGATATCTCCTCTGCCCTTACATTATCTAATCAAACCAAAATCGGTGTGATCAGATGCTTTTCCAATTTACAAATGGCGCTGTTTATGTCCTGCGAAACTGAAGATGAAATGCTTGTAGTTTCCGAATTCTTAGACTATAGAGATGATTGGCACCACTCGTCTCCAATCAGCTCTATGGTCAGCTGGCAGAAACACCGGCTGCATTCTCAGGTTCCCCCGATGGCACAGGACTGCCCGAGAAAACCGTGGAAGGCAGCGGGGGAGGGGGGGCATCATCTCCCGCTGCTTGTAAAAGCAATCCTGCAGCTAATTAGCTACTAGGATTGCTATTACATGAAAGCCGATTGACGGCTGAAAAAACCTATACCAGGATGATGCCTGCAGCTGTAGGCATCATTTTGGTATAACCATTCAAAGTCCAGTGATGTACCAGTACGTCGCTGATCCTTGTTGGGTATATGCTGTGTTCTTTTTTTTTTGTATGCAGCCTGTGGACTGAATGAAAAAAAGAGAAGAAATCTCTGCCAGAAAAAGTGTGTGGTATGCCCACCATTAGAATATACTGCCCTGCATCTACCCACTTCTAATGGTGGGCACACATTAGGTCACACTTTGCCACATGCACCAGTTCCAAAATTGAACAAATGTTTAAATAGTGGCACGCTTGAAAAAAATTGTCCACGTATAAGTGGTATCCCATATAGAAAAAGAATGACACCAAGTCCCAAACTATCTTGCCACTGCTCCCCATGTAGTCTGGGCATCCGGGGGGCTCCTCTTGACTATCTTTTCCCTCGTAAATCCGAAACTTATAAGTATAGCCTGTTGTCCTCTCACAGGTCTTCTACATCTTGACCCCATATCTGACACACTTACTGGGGAGAAATTGTTTGAATGCAAGGCGGCCAGAAAAATTAATCAGGGACTCATCAACGCAAATGTTTTGCTGGGGAGTATAGACAACTGCAAATTTTTGGTTAAGGTGATTTGCAAGGGGCTGAATTTTGTGGAGCCGGTCAAATTCAGGGTTACCCCGAGGATGACAGAGTGTATTGTTGTTGAAATGCATAAAACACATTATACTCTCATATCTTTGCCTGGCCATGGCAGCAGAGAACACATATGATGAATCAGGTCTGTGGACCAATACAACCGCAATTCATTTTTTTTAGTAATGCCTATGTTGAGGGTTAGGCCCAAAAAAAAATGTAAATTCAAAAACCATAATGAGTTTCCATGCGAATGGTCTGGCAAAGTTTGAATTTGGGTTAACGGCGATAAATTGTTGTGCATATACACCGTGTTCCAAATTATTATGCAAATTCTATTTAACCAATTCAATACCGGGCAATTTTACACCTTCCTGCCCAGGCCAGTTTTCAGGTTTCAGCACTCTCACACTTTGAATGACAATTGCACGGTCATACAACACTGTACCCAAACTAAAATTTTATAATTTTCTTCACACAACTAGAGCTTTCTTTTGGTGGTATTTAATCACCGGTGGGGTTTTTTTTTTCTTTGCTAAATAACAAAAAAACGACAAAAATTAAAAAAAAAAACCACACGTTTTTCTTTTTTTTTCTGTTATAAAAATTTGCAAATAAATAATTGTTCTTCATAAATTTAGGCCAAGATGTATTCTGCTACATGTCTTTGGTGAAAATAACCCAAATTAGGATGTATTTTTTAGTTTGTAGGAAAGTTATAGAGTTCACAAACTATGGTATAGATCTTAATATTGATCAATCCTGAAGTACTGACAGCCAATCTAATTTCTTGAGGTCCAAGAATGTCAGAACAGTACAGATATACCCCAAATGACCCCTTTTTGCAAAGTAGACAGTCCGACGTACTTCATAAGAGGCATGGCGAGTTTTTTGAAGTTGTATTTTTTTTGTCATAATTTTTCGGAAAATGAAAAAATTAAAAAAATTAGTTTCACTATTTTTTTTTACTTATTGTCACCAGTGCAGTACAGCATCATCATATAACTGGCATGGCGGTGATCAGGGACACTGACTGGTGACAGTATGAAAAAAAAAATTATATATATATATTTTTTTTAATTATTTTATATTAAATGTTTTTTCTTTTTTTTAAGATTTTTTTTTTCATATTTCACTATGACCAAAGTAGTACAATGTTACCATAGTAAAATTGTACTACTTTGGGGAAGTGATCAGTATTTTTTTTTTTTTTTTTTTTTTTACACAATTTGCTTATAGCAAAGAATTACTTTGCTATAAGCAAGCATTTACCTGAATGACATCGATTCATTCAGGGTTTTTTTTTTTTTTTTTTGTGCTTTGCTATGATTTGGCCACAGCTAATCACATGACATGTGCATGTGATTAGCTGTGACCATTCACAGCTAGGCAGTAGTATACAATGGATGGCATGAATGAAGCCATCCATTGTATACAACTGTCATGTGACCTGCTGTGATTGGTCACAGCAGGTCACATGGTACCGGCAACGGGGGGCCGATACTCAGATCTGTCATCAGCCGTGTCCGAGGTACACGGCCGGTGACAGATCGCGCCGCTGCGCCGCTCTGCAGGAGCACAAACTGCGCATGTGCGGGAGGACGCCATATGGCGTCCACCGAGAACGCTGATGACATTTGCCGCCAGCCATTCGGCCATAGGGCGGGCGGCAAATGGTTAAGTGTCACAAAGATTAAATATTTTGTTTTTCAGTTTAACTCATGGATGGCATTGTGTGTAAGGGCTCTTTTGATCACTGAAAACAATCTCGGACACCTGTGATAATTAGATTGGCCGGTGAGCCCAATTTAAGGAAAGACTACCAAAGGAGGGTGTTCCACATTATTAAGCAGAGCACCATTTTCAAGCAATATGGGGAAGAAAAAGGATCTCACTGCTGCCGAAAAGAGTGAAATAGTTCAATGCCTTGGACGTGGTATGAAAACATTAGATATTTCACGAAAACGTAAGTGTGATCATCGCACTATTAAGAGATTTGTGGCTGATTCAGAGCACAGACAGGTTCGTGCAGATAAAGGCACATTGAGGAAGATTTCTGCCAGATCCATGCATGGGATCAAGAGAGCAGCTGCTAAAATACCATTAAACAGCAGCAACTGTGCATAAACGTTCTATTCGGCCACCACTACCCAATGCTCACAAGCAGAAACGGCTGCATTGGGCAGAAAAATACATGAAGACTAATTTTCAAACAGTCCTGTTCACTGATGAGTGCCGTGCAACCCTGGATGGTCCAGATGGATGGAGTAGTGGATGGTTGGTGGACGGCCACCCTGTTCCAACAAGGCTGCGGCGTCAGCAAGGCGTTGGTGGAGTCATGTTTTGGACCAGAATCATGGGAACAGAGCTGGTCGGCCCCTTTAGGGTCCCCGAAGGTGTAAAGATGACCTCTGCAAAGTATGTGGAGTTTATTACTGACCACTTTCTTCCCTGGTACGGAAAGAAGAACTATGCTTTCCGTAATAAAATCATCTTCGTGCATGACAATGCACCATCTCAGGCTGCAAAGAATACCTCTGCATCAATGGCTTCTATGGGGATAAAAGGAGAGAAAGTC